TCGAGGAGGAGTCATCGCGTGGCCCTGGTCCCACAAGGACGTCGTTGCCATGTCTCTTTGGGAACTTTTACGTGCAGCGGAACATCGCCTGAGAGTAAGATTTCACACACACACATACCTACGAAGGCGGGTTCCAACATGGCGATCGATGGTGGTCGAGAGATGGTCACTTTTCAACTGTACTTGGGACCTCAACGTCCGCCCCACCTTCGACACAACATCGTCCTCACTCCATCATGACATGGTCGATTCAAGACACGGTCGCGACCAGCCAACTCCTCGTGGCGACCCCCCTTCATGGCCCCCGCCGTCTTGGCGCGTGGACGCCCGCGGAAATCGAGTACGCGTACCACATGTCGACGGCTTTCAAGCAGGGCTTGTTCGACGACGGCATCCCGGAGCGGAAAAGCGTTCGGTTGTGGCTCGCCACGCTGCTCAACTGTGACCCCATGCGGCTGAGCAAAAGGTTTCATCGCAAGTCCAATCTCATGGGAATGGCCTTCTTCAAGAAGAACCACGAAGCGCTGGCCGCCATGTCCCCTCAAGAACGCGTCGACCGTCGCACCGCCATGGAAACGATGCGGATGCGGTTCATCGAGAGCATCCGGGGCATGGCGAATCCAGTCCGCGGCCCTGCTTGGGCGGCACCCACACGACCGAACCTCGCACTCCGAAGGCCGCGGGCCCGTGAAGTTCCGGTCAAGAGTAGGGTGTCCTCTCCAACTAGCGTGTCGTGCGACGACGTACTCGCCATGTGCGACCAAGTGGTCCTCGACTTGGCGATCCACCTGGGCGATCGCGACTCGAACGAACTCGGTCCGTTCGACTGGGAAGCGCTCCTCTCGTTGCTCTCCAACGATCGAGATGATCTTCCAGTCGCGGACGGCATTGGCACGGAGTGGGAATTGTAGCATCGCCTGTCAGTCGATTCAAATGTACCAAAGCCCACTACTAAGTCTACACCATCCTCTTGCCATGCGATCCCTTCTAGCCATGCAAAACCAACGAGCGACGTCATCTCGACGCTGTTGGGCGAGACATCTCGGCATTCGCATCGTCCACATGCCTTGGAGGCCATGGCGCGATCCCGTCGATCGGTCGTGGCATGGGGATACTTTCCCGTCCCTCGACTCAGACCGTCGCCACCGCCTGGTCGGTCCTGCTGTCATCACGAGCACTTGGATGCAAACACATCTCGCGAGTTTTCGTTGTGGCAAGTGGACGGACGAGGCGTTGTCTTGCAGCGGATGGACCGGCCAACGTATTCGTCGTCATGAGGCAGGGATGGCTGGAAACCATCCAACAAGTCAGGTCCATGGGCCCTCTGACACCCATCGAATACAATTGTAATCCCGGCGCAGGAGCATCACGTGAGCTGCCCTGAAGAAGCACTCGCATGGACCTCGCCACAGCAGCCAAATCGTGGTCAACTCTGCATCCGTCGTCAACATGCACCGACGTATCTCGTGGCTGTCGTCGTCCCACTCGTACTTCGTCGGAAGTAGGAGGCGCCATGGCCACTGTACAAGGTGCCTCGTACGCCTCGTGGAACTTTTTGAGGTAACCTGAAGCCCGCTGCAAACGCTCCTACCTCCTTGCTCCTGGTAGCGGCGCCGCTGCTCGAGAGCATGCGACGGTGAGTGGACTCTAGCCGAGATCGAGTACCACATGTCGGTCAAGGAAGGGCTCACTGACGATTCCCGAGCCGGTCCGTGTGCGGCTATGGCTCGCCACACCGGTTCACAGCACCCCCATGCGTTTGAGTAAGAGATGCCATCGGCACACTTCTCGGGATGCACATTTTCAAGAACCACACGCGACTCGGATCGTTGATAGTCCACCGGCGCCGCGCAATGGAGTGCTTTATGCAATCCTTCGAAGGGGTGCAGGCTGCAGCGACCGAACCGCCGTGCGAAGGCCAGCGACAACGGAGGCAAGGAGCTCGAAAGGCAAGCACAGTCCAGGCGGCCATGCACCGTGCGAGCGCAACGAAGCGGCTGACACCACAACAATCGAACTGGTCGACCTCGATCTCTTGGAGTCAGTTTCCCGTGTGCGGTGGGGGAGGTGGACGTCGCGTTGTACAGAAAATCTAAACCCAGTGCACGTTTGTGTCGGTGGGGCAGTGGTGGAATGGAGAGTGTTTTCTGGCGCACATGCCGAGAAAGAGCTTTCGGTGTTTGAAAGGTACGACCTGCAGTCATGCCTCCGTCAGTACACTGCTCCGTGGTCGCGAGGCCAGCGACAGCCACGCCATGAGACAGCCCTTTCCTTGTTCGAACTAGTGGACGCAGATCCCGTCAACAGCATCCATGCTGGGACGAGCGCCACGCCATGCTGACATGACACAACGGATGGGATTGGACACGTTACTCGCCGGCTCACTTGTTGACGCATGCGACGACCCACTTCCACATGGCCATCCAGGCGTTCGTGTGGCGCAGCGCAACAATCGCAATCAAGACCTTGACGGTGCTGTGGAGCTGCCGCCCCGTCTTGGCCCAGATGGCCGACCACAATGCCGACCACGACTGGCGCACCGTCAACGACTTGAGAAAGATCTTTTGCCCGGCGTTCGTGCGATCGGAAACGTTGGCCTTTACAAACTGCGCGACCGAGTACGCCATTGCAAACGTCGTGACCATGGGGCTGCGCATGGTTGTGATACAACATATTCGTTTGCAAACACGTACTTGACTCCGGACGCGGTGGGGAAGAGCGAGGCATCGGCCACGTACAGACCTCGGACTTCCCAGCTCTCGCCGTCGGGATTCACCGCGCCGTCTTGAGGCGACGCCCCCATGCGGCAGCTCCCCATTTGATGGGCGTTCATGATGCCAAGACGGTTTGGAACTGCACCAAGCGCGCGAACCTGCTCGATCCATCGCTGCGTTGTGGCACACTCGATGGGGTTGGCTACATCTTCCTCGGTGGACAGTCGTAGCGGCGGGAGGTCGAACTGGGTCGTGTTGACCTCTACGGCGCCTTGGACGAGCAGAACTTTTGCCCCCGCAATGAGTCCCTCTACCAACGACGTACTGTCCTTGGTTCCCAGTTGAAACTTGATGCGCGGTCGGCCTGCAGCAGCGAATGGCTCCAGGAGCAGATCCAACACAGCGACAGCCAGAGTGGACACATACCATCCGCGTCGAGGACAACGCTGCTGGACGAGTCCAAGTCCCGCGCCAGCACAATCATGTTGACGAGATGTGGGTACTGCAGCATGAGGCGATGCAAGTCGGCGCGACTTCGCCACGGCAAAAGCGACGCCGTGAGGCCCATCAACGACGCTGGGATTTCAATGCGGGCGCCATATCTACGCCAGTAACGGAATGAGTTTCGGATCCACACAACCTCCATCGTTCGCATGCTTTGTCCACGTCATCGCTGCGATGGCCAGAGACGTCGGCTCTTCTTACCCCTCTCCATGAATGTTGCGAACGACGTTGCACACCGCGGTGAGGATCGACCCGGACCAGCTTTGCACGTGCTTTTGCGGAAAGAACCCGTGGACCGTCGTGACAGGATGCAGCCGGAGGTGGCGACCGATGTTGGGGTTGGACAACCCTGACCGAAGCAGGAGCGCGGGGGTGTGGAGACTGCCGGCGCAGCTCACGACTGTGTTGGCCTTGACCACGAGTCGCACCGTCCCGTTCAGGACAGTCGCTTCGACGCCCGTAGCTTGTCTGCGCGAGTACGTCACCTTTTCGACAAAGCACCCGTCGACAAAGGTGGCGCCGGCGTCGGCTGCGTCTTTGAACCACGTCATGTGCGATCCTTGCTTTTCACCGTACGGACAGCCCAGCGTACAGAACCCACACTCGTGGACGCTGCCGTTTGTGTTTTGGGGCACCGCGTCGACGGGGTACCCGAGCTTCCTCGCGCCGTCGACGAGCACTCGGTTCGGAACGTTGTGGCGCACTGCATCCGCCGACACACCTACGACACACGCCGTCATGCCGTTGCGTGGCTGGTCACCGCACGTGCTTACCTGCACGTGTGCACACTGCATGGATGGCGTCCTGGAACGCCTGTGAGTTGAAATAGGGCAAATTGTACTTGGTTGCCCATTCTTCGCAAAGGACCTTGGGCGGCGGTAGCGAGGCACTCCTACCGATCACGCCTCACGTCGTAACCACGACGGTGGACCCACCAGTTGATATAGGTGCCGCCACCCCATGCCGACCCGGCCAGGAGCATCATGGACAAGTCCTCGGACGTCAGTAGCGCGGCGCTTTCGAAATTATTCCAGAACCCTTGCAGCTCGTTGAACGACGCGTCGGACGGGTGCACGTATGATGCCTTTTCGAGCACGACCACCTTGTGTCCTGCTTTCGCCAGCTCCGCCGCTACCATGCGTGATCGTGTCCATCAACTCTGGACGTACGACATCTACGCGACGAGAAAAATCTTACCGACAACGCCGCCACCGGCGCCAGACCCGATCACGACCACATCCGCCTCCAGTTGAACGACCTCGGCGGTCCCGTTGGCTAGCGTCCGGACGCTGCAGAGGTATCAGAACCAAGAGGAAGTGTGCTTTACGTACTCGATGAAGGTCGGTTCCCAAAAATGCGACCGTGGTGGGCGCTTTTTCTCCTGCGGCTGGCCAGCGTAGTGGAGATTCGCCCACAGCGGATTCTGTTTGCCATGGACCGTCCGCGCCTTGGCAAACATGCAAAACGAAACGAGGGCCTTCAACGCTTGGAATAGCGATCGAAGTTTGGCAAATGATGAGGACGCCAGGTTCCGCAGGGCGTCTTCCCTCTCGTTCGTTGTGAGCTCGTGGAAGGGTACCGCGCGCGATGATGCCGTCACGAGTTTGGTTCCCCACCCCGTCGAGAGCAAGTACAGAACTTGAGCAAACTCTATCCACTTGTCCGCAGGAAGCTTTTGAAGCATCGTTTCCATGCTTGCAACAACATCAAGTTCTCGCGGATGCACCTGCGTCGTGGCGAATAGTTCGTCCTCCGTCGGTACACAATTGTCTGTTCCATCCGTGAAGCTGTGAACGGTCTTGAGATGCCCCGAAACGACGTCCTTCGCGACGGCTTCAGGAAGAGGGCCAGCGATAGCTTCGGCAATCGCCAAGATCGTCGCGCTCTGCGTCTGGGTCAACCTGCGCC